ATTTGAACCCCAGGTCATGAGCACAGTTTTAGCTGCAGTACAGCATTTTAACCACTGTGCCATGAGGCTTCCATAGGAAGATCCATCAATGGCCCCTTTAGCTTCCAGCCCAGGTCAGGATATGCCTTAAACCTTGAATCAGATTAGGAGGAAGATTTCAGCCAATACAGTAGTGCCTCGCTTAACGAGCGATTCGTTTAACGACAAATCTGCATAGCAACTGAGTCTTTGCGATCGCAAAACGATGTTTTAAATGGGAAAGCATCACTTTGCGATGATCGGTAAGCTGTTTCGCTTACCGAGTATCGCATAACGATGTTTTTCCAACAGCTGATCGGCGGTTCCAAAATGGCCACTGGGTAAAGAAAATGGCAGCCTGCTGTGTTTTTGCGCCCTTTCCTCGCTTACCGGGCAGCGAAAATGGTGGCCGCATGGAGGATTTCTGCAGAACGGTGAGGTTTTTGCCCATAGGAACGCATTAAACATGTTTTAATGCGTTCCTATGGGCTTTTCCCCCCGCATAGCGACGAATCCACATAGCGACGATTTTTTCGGAACGGATTATCGTCGCTATGCGGGGCACCACTGTATATTGTTTTAAACGGTTGGCATCCTTTAAGTAGTCATAGGACTAAAGGCTGAAATACAATGTCACCGGTGCTCAGGAACTCTAAAAAATACTTTTGGAGTGTCCCAATGCACACATACTTATGCACCAGGATAACTACCATTCTCTCAAGTAGGCAGGGCCCCAAGTGTTAACACCTCTGTTGCCTTCACAAGCATCCAATGATGCAAGTGCTGGACTGGCACAAATGTGGAATGAAGAAATTCCCAAATAAAAACAATCTGCTAAATTCAATCCAGGGAAACAGGTGCATAGGAAACAAAAACAGACTTGAAAGCCACTTGCTCTTTCTAAAATCTCTGGTGAATTTACTATTGTTATGAGTTGTAACATTTTGCTACACATTCTATACAAGTTTCCAGATATGAATGAGCAAAATGTTATCTAAAAACCAACTTGGATATACACCAAATGATTCAACCTAACATTTTGTTACAGAACACTCCTTCAGCCTGTTATTTCAGTGTGTGACCAATCAGCTGTGAGATATTTTGCCAATTGAACACGAAAACTACGTAGTCCAAAATAAAGGCGTGAAAAACGGGAAAGAGCTAAATATAAAACATGTTCAACAGTCAAAGAAGTTTAGCCAAAACAAATAGCTAACGGGAAGCAAAACAGTATTGAGGAAATATTTCTTAAGCTGAAAATTGCAGCTTGGAAAAACCTGGTATATCACTCACTTTAGATTTAACCAATGTTCTAAATAACTCCAAGGGTATCTGCAAGAGGGAAATGTCGGATTAACCCTTTCATCCCTGCCTCTCCCCCACATGTCTCTTGGCTCCTTTTCCTCTAAGGCTGAAAGTAGAGGTGGAAGATTAAGGCACCACCCTTTCTCATGTTCCCTTTGCAAATGCTTCCCCACTCTAGGTAGAAAATCTCTGAACAGGTTTCCAGCCAGTGAATCTTTCACATCCCCTGGCTGTGGGGGAGTGGGGGACAAGAAAGAGGCATCACTATTGCTGTCACAGATCAGTTTATGGTGACGACATATGAACTTCCCGGTAAGGTTATTAAATGTGACAACCCTGCCTGGAGGCAAAACTACTGCACCATTTATAAGAGACAAGAGGACAAGAGCAGGGCAACTGTAGTGTAATGGTATATTATAAATGAATCGCTGGTTGCATACAAAATAATGAGAGTAAAATAAATCCCAATGCTGAAGCATTTTTGAAAGATTATCAATCCCTTTTGCTGAAGGAAACAATCTATTTGCAAACTAGGAAAAATCAGACCGCAGAACAAACATGTCTGGAAGCGCATATCCTGCCCATTTTACATAAAAGCAGAGGGCTGTCCTAGTACAAAGTGCAATAATATTAACGATATATCAAGTTCCTTACAGCATCTGAAAGCAAACAGAATTTTTACTAATATTGTGCATAATTATCATTCTTTACACATTTTCACTGCAGTGGCAATAAATATGCATATTTAGAGACAGCATTCCTCACCAGAAGCACTCAAAGCCAACAGCTAGCCTCACATGTACATACAATCACCTGGGCATGCAGCATGAAATATAAACATGCCTTTTCTCTACTATAAAATCAAGTGTGTAATATAATGAAGAATGCCACTTTTTCTACTGCTCCTGCTCCTCTGCCTTTAATAGCAAGACTGGACATGGAAAATAATTATAAGCTTTCCTCACAATTTCAGCTCCAGACTAGGAAAGACTCTGCCTCAGTTTCCCAGTGAAAAACTAGCATTAGAGTAATTGGAGCAAAGCTAGTAAAACATACATGAACACACATGCACACACTTCCTCTGCTACAAATGACTCTGTTTGCACTTTCCTAGAATCACATACCTAGGATTTAATATTTTACACACAACTATGTGTTACCTTTTTTGTTTGTTTCAAAACTGCTGCATTGTCTCAGCCTACAGCAGGTAAAATTCATTTCAAGGTGGTGGTTGGCTCTACCTCACTGGATATTTAAAAACAGAGGTTGGGCAGCCATCTGTCGTGTACAATTTAGCTAGCAGGGGGTTGGACTCTGTGACCCCTGAAATCCCTTCCAGCTCTACAATTCTATGGTTCTGTGAATCAGAACATGCCCAGCTACCAAATCCATCTGTTTTACAGCTTTCTATGGACAAACCCAAAGTTCACTTTGAACTTAAGGAGTTTTGTATTGCTGAAATTGTTGATGATCTAAGTAAATCTCATTAGTTCTACTCCCCCCTTCTCTATGTAGACAGTTACTTCTTACAGACCACACCAGAATAGATAAAACATCACAAAACAAAGCACATCACAATTTCTCAAACATTTCAGCTTAATTCTTACAAAGCACATCAGAATTATCAAACACAAAAACACAAAAGAAAAAGTCCTTGTGATTATGCTGATTAAGAAGGATGACCTGGGTTCAAAATCTTATTCACCCAAAAGGCTCACTAGGTGATCTTGGGAGAATCACTACTTCACGGACAAACCGTTCAGCTGTATGTGTGCCAAACCAAATGTTCTCTGTAAGACACAGAAATGATTTTCCAACATAAATCAAGAACAATAACTTGAAGAACTGTTGCACACAACAAGGAATTGAACTGGTATGATAGCCAGGGTAGAAGGAAATGCTAAACCCTTTTCTGATCATAAGTCTGTTCTGAATATTTCTCCACCTAGTTTTTTTTTCTTATTATGATGTAATCTATATGTGAAGCTACAACTTGCAAATTTGCAAGAACATCAAGCGAATCAACACAGGAATGTAATACTAGAACCCTAATTTTTGATTATTATTTTTCACTTGCTTTTAAGCAAGCTGAAAACAGATTTACTCATTTTATTTATATCCTCTAGCTCACGCATGCACTGTAAAGTCATGGCAGCACCAATGTACTTATTGATACTATTTTTAAAAACAATGTGTACAATCCATGCTAAAAAGAAAACTAAGGTTCCCCCCCCCCACACTCTTATGTAGCAATCTTTTTTGGGGTGGGGGCATATTCTGCATTAATTCAGAGATACGTAGTACATGGTATAAGTCCAAAACATGATCTTATCACAAGATGCAATATTATGTCATTTATATTGAGAAGCCATTAAGGTTACTACTTGCATACACACTTTTGAGATGTATCCTAGTTTAAACTTGTTTCTATTTTTACTTGTCCCTGAACCATGAATCTGTACTTGTCTCTTAAGTCATCTAAGCTTGAGTTCTGTGTGACCTATTGCCAAGGCTACTTCCCATATTCAAATCCTAGCAGGAATTACTCTGCTGATAGTTAACATTTCCCATTTTTGAGTCAACCTACTTGGTGTCTTTCTAGCACTAAGTGCAGTGCTTACAGCTGCACAAATGCAAGGCATGAAATGAGGGTGGAATTGAGACAGCATCCACTATCTAGACAAGGGTTTGTAGCATAAACACGTGAACTGTTCAGAACTACAACTTCCAAAATATGCCAACCCCAATGCCGTTCAAATGTACATACATTAGCAAACAATATGCATGATAAGCAGCAGTAGGTCAGGTGCATACACATGTATGCGAATGCTATAATGTATACGAGCTGGTATCCTCTTGTCGCAGATGTTCACACCATCTTAAATCTACTTGGTTGAGTCCCTAGCTCTCCAGAACAAATGCTGGGAGTGAATCGCCCCCTTCTCATTCTCCTGCCAGAAGCTATGTTGATGGCAAAGGGAGTAAATTTTCATCCAGTCCTTTTCATTCTGGGCATACAGCAGCAAATATCCTCTTCAAGTATGAATGGAAATACTGGGATGATCTGGTCAACTCCACTGCAAGAAATACCAGAATGACCTAGAGCAACCAGGGACAACGTGACAGTGTGGACGAAACCTTAATTTGAATATTCCCTCCATACCAAACCATGTCTACAATTTTTTTCGCCTCCTTCCCAATAAACCTCCTCCTTTTGTCCTTTGATATACTACCCTACCTTGACCCTGACCCATGGGTATGGTATAGTGGAATATGAGCCCCAAGTTAAAAAACCCCACTTATCCATGAAGCCCACTGAGTGACCTTGAGACAGTCTCTGTTTCATGGATTAATCTTTCTCACAAGCCCATAATGAGGTTTAAAGGCAAACTATGTCTGCCACCTTGCACTTCTTGGATGAACGTTGGAAATAAATGTACAATGAATAAACACATACTTACACACACTGCAGAAAAAATAAAACTATTTCAAGTACGTGAGTAGATTATGCAGGTTGAACCTTTTTGCGCATATGGCATATGTTTGAGACCTTTAAAAGAAGGACTGGCACATTTATTATGTGTAGTTTTTCTCTACCCAAACTGAAGAAATCCCTGCCTATAGGGTCACTCCTCTGGATTGCAGCAAAGAATTAAAATATATATTTATATACACACATATATCAGAAATTACCCTTCTAGGACAGTGGGAGGCATTAAATTCATCTCCAATGCGCCGTAATTCCTGGGCAATCCATATTTCTGGCTGCATATCTTCAGGGATCGGCTGTGACTGCCACCTGGAAGCTGGATCAAAGCAACATAAAAGACACACATTTTTAAAATTTCCAAATATTATTTCTTCATCCATGTCCCAATGTCCATCCAAATGTTCTACTATATATTTCTATCCAAATTACACAATGGAATTATAGTTGTTAACGAAGATGGACAGGTTTTCACCCAAGAAGATACCAAGAAAACTAACAATTTTACATTAAAACTACAACAGGATCAGAACACTCATTTTTTTGTTCATGAAATCTATTTTTCAATTTAAACTTACAAGTATATAAAAATAGTTCACTGTTAGTTTTGAACTACAAGTAACAAGTTCAATAGAACAGAGCAGAATATATGGTCACTCATGGGCCATATATTCTGTTTTTTTTATCCATTCAAGGATAAAATGTAATTGCTAGTTCTGCAAACCATCAAAGAGTGTGCCACCAGCCCCAAAGAAGACCAAATGCTCAGGAGAGGCAGTGAAACAGAAAATGTAAACTTAAATCCACTGTTAGTTGTTAATCTCAACTAGAGGAGGCCACTGAATCAATCAGATTTACATGTGTTGATTTACCATTCAGGAATTGATTCAAGGAGTCTACTTAGGATGAGAATCTGGAACTTGAGCCATGACAACTGGACTTCTTTCTTGCCATGTTGAAACGGCTACTCATCCAAGCAGTTTCTTCAGTCTGAAAAGAGTTGGTAGGAGATCCCTGATATATCCTCCAGTTGGTTTCACTTCCCCCTGGTCTGAATAGGCTCTTAGAAGGACAAAGGAGGTGAGGGACAATCCCACTTCTGCAGTCCTTCTCCACCCATTGTCATGGGTCCTTGATGGTCGTTAACAATGATCTTTCTTGTGTGTGTCCCTAGTCCTTCTGGGGAGGGATGAAAGGGCAGCATGATAAATAGGAGACAGATTGTATTTAAGGCCTCCATCCCTGTTGAGTGAGGGATTTTTTATATGCACATGTATGGCCTCTCTGACCCCTCTCTCAAACCATCTATCTTTTTAGTCTAAAACAAGTACATCTTGGTTATCAAATGAGTGTCCTTTGTCCTTCAAATTAATAAACACTGCTGATTGTGTTCCTGAGCCATTGCCCTTCCTGTGCTCGGCCATTCTCCTGTTTAGTGTCTGTTTGGTTTCTCCTACGTAGAGCTCTGTACACTCCTCTTTGCATTGGACCACATACACCAGTGGTCCTCAACCTTTTCCGGTCTGCGGACCATTGGGGGGGCAAGCATCGTGCATGGACCGGTTGACAGGTGCGGCACCCCTGCGCTCATGGGTGGGCATGTCCCACTCCTGCTACCGTTCCCCCAGCGCCCCTTCCCTGCAGGGAAGCTGTTATGGGCAGCCTGCCCGGGAAGCGCCAACGGCCAGTCACCGTGCCTGACGCCACCCCACCCAGGGTGAGCGGCCAATCCTGCTGCTTCCTGCCCGGCCGCAACAGCTTCTTGCAGGGAAGGGGCGCTGGGGGAACAGTTAGGAGGCCAACACACCCCTCAGCAAGTGCGACACGCCCCTCCGGGGGGAGGTGGGGGCGGAGACTTGTCTCTGCGGCCCAGTTCCGGTAAGCCCACGAACCGGCACTGGGCCACGGACCAGAGGTTGATGACCCCTGACATACACTATATTGCTCCTGTTGTGTTTTGGTGTAGGGGTTTTGGATGGACGAGTCTCTGCCTTAGTGTGTTTCACACCAAAACGCAAACCAAAAGGTCAGTAGGGATGCGCTTCTGGGGGTGGTAAGGTAAAGGTTCCCCTTGACATTTAGTCCAGTCATATCCACCTCTAGGGCGTGGTGCTCATCCCCGTCTCCAAGCTATAGAGCCAGCGTTTGTCTGTAGACAGTTTCCATGGTCACGTGGCCAGCGTGACTAGACACAGAACGTCGTTACCTTCCCACTGAGGTGGTACCTATTTATCTACTTGCATTTGCATGCTTTCGAACCACTAGGTTGGTAGGAGCTGGGACAAGCGATGGGAGCTCGCTCTGTTGCGTGGATTCGATCTTATGTCTGCAGGTCTTCTGACCTTGCAGCACTGAGGCTTCTGCGGTTTAACCCGCAGCGCCACCCCGTCCCTGATTCTGGGGTGAGGATCACACAATTAAATCAAAATCCATTCTCTTCCCTTGTTTGCAGAGGTTAAGATTTGACCCTGCCTATACAAAATTGCAGAGGGGAAGTAGCTAGAGTTGACACTCTAAAGGAATCTTTTGAAAGCAGTCCTGAATATTTTAGCAAGGCTTCCAACAATGTTCAATCTTAGAGCAAGCCAAGAGAAAGAAAAATGAAAGCTCCAGGAATAACTTCAGACAGAATAGAAACCAAGGCTAATCAGGTCTGCTATTAGTCTCTTCCATTATTTTTGCTGTTTGGAAAGACAAACCCAGTTTCTATATAGAAGCTTGTGGAAGCTGATAAAATGAAGACCCAAATTAAAAAAAAACTGATGGACTCTATTTACAAAAAGCTAAAAACAATGATAGTACATTGTCTCACAAAATATATTAGACCTATAACATGTTTTGAAACAAACTTCACATATGGCTCTTTTTCCTTTAAGAAAAAACATAATTTTAACAATACAAATAACTGATTTAAATACTTAAATTCCAATTAATTTTTTAAATCTGATTTTTAATTTTTAAAAATAATGTATTTTTATTCACTTTGAAGACAATGCTCCTAGTAGGAGCAGTCGTAACTAAGTATGGACTAGCAACATGCTGAAATCTAGTGGTGTTTATAAAGGGGCATGAGAAAAATAGGCATACAACTGCATTTTTGTGGTATGTATTTATTCTAGCATTTACTTTGGCCCTTGTATTGGTTACATTTGTATCTTGCTGTTCCTCCAATAATCTTAAGAGTTACGGTATATTTAACCTTTTAGGCATCAGCAAAATAAGTCAGACTAACAGAGAATGATTTATGTAAGGCTTCATAGCCAAACAAAGATTTAACCTGTTTATTCCGCTCATCTAAATGCAACACTATAGACAATGTTCTAAGTCTTTCATATAGTCTGCACATCGTGCAAAGTCTAATATCTCAGTTTAGCAATCAAAGATGTGACAGCATAATGGGTTTTGCTCCCTGCTTTATGTGGCAAAACTAAAAAGCCAAGTTTCTGCACTTAAATATAGCTCCATGAACTACTGTTGAATACATGTATACAAGCCACATAAGCTAACTTTAAACTCTAGTTTAAAATTGCTTCCACTACAAGCCTGTTTACAAACACTTATTCAAAACTCAAGTTTTATATGCTTCAAGAAGCTATGCTTGATTTCATTTTGCATAATAGGAAAATGAAGGAGCAGGAAAGGACTGGACATGGATGCATACAGCTTGTTCACATCCCAACTTATTAAACCAGGTTTTTTCTTTGCAAATTATGCAAAATTGGCTATTAGCTTCTTTATATACAGGTATACAGTGGTGCCTCAACTTATGAACTTAATTGGTTCTGGAACTCCGGTCGTAACTCGAAATGGTCATAAGTTGAAGCACCATTTCCCACAGGAATGCACTGAAATGCAATTAATCCATTCTGGTCGAAGAAAAAAACAGCAACAAAAAAACCTGCAAGACCCATCGGAAACGAGATTAATCCATTCCAGCCGAAGGAGGAGGGGAAGAAAAGCAAACGAACTGTGCAAGACCCATCAGAAATGCAAAAAAAAAAAAAAAAAAAGCAGAAAGCAAACAAACTGTGCAAGACCCATCGGAAATGCAAAAAAAGCAAAGCAAAAAGCAAACAAACCCTGTAAGACCCTTTGGAAATGGGGGAAACCCCCCCAAAAGCAAACAAACTCCACACGACCCATCGGAAATGGGGGAAAAACCCAAAAAGCAAACAAACCCTGCAAGACCGATTGGAAATGGGAAAGAAAAACCAAAAAACAAACAAACCCTGCAAGACCCATCACAGCATAGAAACATAATCCCACCACCCGGCCCAAAATTACGCTGCAAAACCCACCCAGAACAGTTTTTAAAAAGCAGAAAGCAGCACCTTACCTTACTAGGCAGTCTGAAGCCTCCTCCGATCGCACACTCTCTAACCGCTGGGGCGAAAAAGCTACAAAGAAGCAGCCTCTTCGCCACTAACGGTTAGTAATTTTAATTCCCCACCTTTTTCCCCTGCCTTTTTTCTGGTTGTAACTCGAAGCTCCGGCTGCAAGTCGAAGCAAAATTTTGCGGTCACGGCTGGTTGTAACTCGAAATGGTCGTATGTCGAGGCAATCGTAAGTTGAGCCACCACATTGTTTGTTTTACCACTTTACATAATAATTATGCAAAGAACACTTTGCTCCCCAGTGAGCTGTGTACTGATGTTACCAACCTTGGAAGGATGGAAGGATGAATCAACCTTGAACCGGCAACCTGAACTCATCCAGATCAAACACAGGTTGTAAGCAGAGGCTTGACTGCAGTACTACAGTTTAACCACCACACCACTGTGTTCTTAGCAATATAGTAAGGAACTCTGAAAAGAAGAAGTCATATCCTAGGAGTAGGACCCAGGGAAGAAAAAGTATTAGTTGATAATCTCCTCAGAAGAGGAACCAACTTCCATGGGCAGGTATGCTATTTCACAGAATTAATAATTTGTAGGCCCTGAAAAAGACCATTATCTATTGAAAAGGGAGTGTTTGTTGACTTTGTCAAAACTATCAGTCCCTGTATAAAGGGGTTTACCATGTGATGGTTGTACTGCTCTAATGAATGAAAAAGACATAGTGAAGTTTGATTGTTCTAGGTCTCCCTATTAGTATTTAACTGTCCTTCATAAGTCACCCCTTCCACAAATGGATTCAGACTGGAAAACAATATATTTTGTTTTGTTTTTTAAAGAACCAAAGTGTAATATTAAAACTGTGGTTGTTAGAGTGGTCAACAAAAATAATGGTTATACTCTTCAATTAAATCTGTATCCGCTGAAGCAAGTACTTCAAAAGATAGATACTAATTATTTGCACATTATCTCTAATACCACTGTA